AGGCAGGGTGCCCAGAAGGCAGTGGAGATAAAGCCCAGGCCGCAGATTAGCTACGGGATTAGCCCAGCCTCTGGCTGCTCCTGGTGGCTCCTTATCTCTTGGAGGTGGGGGAATCGGGGGCTCCCTCACAGCTCTGAGCCCAGGACCTGCTAATTGCCTGTTAACCCCGTGGGCTCTGTGACTGTAGGGAGGATGAGAGGTGGGGAGGAGTTGGGGGGACTGCAAGCTGAGCCAGTCAGGAGAAATGGGAGCTGTGGTTAGATGTAATTCAAGGGACTGAGAAAAGCCATTGCTCAGATCTCTCTCAACCCCTGATCATTGTCTGGAGCAGACCTGGAGGAAGTGGAGGGAGGAGGGGAGAGCTCCAGAGGAAGGGTTCCTGGCTGGGAGACGGGGTTGGCCTCAGGCCCGGGGGAAAGTCTAGGAGGAAGACAAGAGACAGAGACTGGACAGCTAGATTAAGGGATAGACAGAAAGGAAAGCAAACAGGATGGAGATGCAGATGGCTAAGGAATAGAAAGGTTGGGGGGCAGCCAGGCCTGTGGGAGGGAAAGAAAGAGGCCATGGGGATGGACAGGCAGACAGAGGGCAAGGGACAAAGAAACAGAGGCCAGATGGATAATTGATCAGAAGCTGAGGACAGACAACCCGGGAAAGAGAGCTCCAGAGGAAGGGTTCCTGGCTGGGAGACGGGGTTGGCCTCAGGCCCGGGGGAAAGTCTAGGAGGAAGACAAGAGACAGAGACTGGACAGCTAGATTAAGGGATAGACAGAAAGGAAAGCAAACAGGATGGAGATGCAGATGGCTAAGGAATAGAAAGGTTGGGGGGGCAGCCAGGCCTGTGGGAGGGAAAGAAAGAGGCCATGGGGATGGACAGGCAGACGGAGGGCAAGGGACAAAGAAACAGAGGCCAGATGGATAATTGATCAGAAGCTGAGGACAGACAAGCCAGGAAGATAGGGAAGGATTTGAGAGACAGACTGAGATCAGGGAACAGAGCCTAGGGAGACAGACCGACCCTGGGCAGGGCCAGGCTGACACTGAAGGAGAGGTGGTCAGAGAGAGACAGGCAGAGGCTGGCCCGAAGGAAGGCGCTGGAGGACTCCGAGGATCTGCATGCAGTTCGGACAGATTTTCATCCAGAAGCTGCCCAGCCTAGGTCCAGAAGGGCTCTGGGAGGCCACATGCTTAGCTTAGGGCAGGAGGGTGGACCTGGGAGCTAAGGCAGAAAACAAGGGAGGGCCAAGAAGGGGGAGGGCCAGACTGAAGGAGGAGGTGGGTCTGAGATGGGGGCAGGGTCCAGAGGCTGAGAGCTGGTGGTGGGTGATCTGGAAATAGCCCCTCGACCCATCAGGGCACATCCTGGCCTGGAACCTGCCCCTTTCCATAGCTGAGCCCTGGAGTCTCAACTGCTGTACACACACCCTCCTTCCGGGCCAGTCCATGGGGAGAGAGCAATGGACAGGCAGTGGGACCTTGTGGCTGAGCAGCCGTGCCGTCTCCATGGAAGAGGCTATGGGCTGTGCCGCTACAAGAGTTCTGCCACTTAGGAGCCGGCGGCTCCACCCGCCGCTGCCTGCCTGGCCCAGGGACCATCTCCGGAGCAACACTCTGCTCTGCCCAGCAGTTGGGCCTTAATGGGGTCATGCAGGTGGCCTAGCTCTGCCAGTCTGGCCTGTCCACTCCCCACAGAGTATATCTATCAGACCCAGAGTCTTTCTACCTATCTTCCTTTGTCAACCCTCCCCTCTTCACAGCCACCTTTAAGGCAGGGGTGCCAGATAACTACTCCCCTCCAAAGCCATTGGAGCCAAAGCCTTCCCCACTGGCTTGGCCCTGCACAGAGCTGGGCTCAGTGTCATGCAGCCTGTCTATGTGTCCATGTGGGAGGTACTGGGTAGGGAGGCTGCCTCAACCCCGCCCAGGATCAGGAATCTACCTGTCATTCATTCACCGAATGCCCACCGGGTGTTTTATAAGCACCCACTCTGTTTGGGCATCGGACTCAGTTCTGCTTGAACCTCAGCTGTCATTTACTTGCTGTGTGTCCTTAGCCAAATCACTCTCCCTCTCTGCACTTCCTCATCATTAAACAGGGGCAACAATATTACCTCACGTGGTTGTCTAAGAGGCTCAAAGGAGAAAACAGATCAAAGGCATCTAGCACGGGACCTGGTACAAAGTGGGATGTGTTCAATAGTGTTCACTTTGTACTTCTTCCTCCACCTCATGCCTCCATCTGCAATTTGCAGTGGGCTCTGGGGTGCCGAGATGGTAAAGCGAGGCTCCTAACTTCAGAGAGTCCGTGGATAAAGCTGAGGAGTGGAGAAACTATGAGTTGCTGGCAGTCAGGGCTCTGCAGAGGAGGTACTGCATGCTGGGGGACACGAGTGAGCAGTTCACTACTTGGGTTCCCCACGCAGCCGTTGCCTTGTTTGGCCTCTCAACTGGAGCGTATGCTCAAAACTGGTTGCATCAGCAAAAGCTGATTCCAGCATCTTCTTGGCCTGAAATAGGAAGAGGGTGATGCTTTGAGATTTGGGGCAAATACTTATATATTCTCCCTGTCCGCCTTTCCCACACCAATGAGGACCCAGGAATCTTGCACCCAGCCTCCTTCAGCATTCTCCTCTCTCTGGTGACAAGATCCCCAGGGGCTTTGTGTGCATATCAAAGTTTGAGAAGCACTGATCTCGGAGACCTTGACAGATCAGCCCACCTCTCTGAGCCTCGGTTTCCTCGTCTGTAAGATCTAGGGTGTTTTGAGAGTGTAATTGGAAAGAACGTGTTAAGCATTTAACACGGTGCCTGGGGCAGAGAAAGTGCTCTGGAACCATCCGCGATGCCCACTCCTGCCCCACAGATGCACACACAGCAGGGAGTTGGCCAGGGGTGATACAGACAAGGTAAAGGACTGGAACCCAGAAGTTGATGAGGATGCAGAAGGATGAGGGGACGGATAGGTGAGGAAGTGAGAAATTGAGAGGTTGAGAAGTAGCAGATGTGGAGAAGAGAGAGGAAGATGTAGGGAGGAGTGGCGGGGAAGGAAAGGAGGGATAGGGGGAAAGGAGATGGGGGTTGGGTCGCACTCCTGTCTCATTGCGGCTGAATGGGGCCGAAACAGGAGCTGGGGCGTAGGGTAGGGCAGACTTGGTGGGGGGCTGGGCACCTTCCAGGAATAGGTTGTGTATTGCATCTAGATAAGTTCCATCTCTCCCACTGACTAGCCGTGTGACCTTGAGCAAGTCACATTACCTCTCTGAGCTGTGGTTTCCGATCTGTAATAATCTGGCTAATTCAACCTGCCTGATACCAGGGTTGCTGAGTGGACCAAATGGGGCTTCAGTAGATGTCGTCATGTTTTGAGATCTGTGTGGTGCTTGTTTTTGTTTTAGGAATCAGTATGAGAATCAGCAGGACGGTTAACCTAGCTAACCTAGCAAAGATGGAAGACTTCACCTTGCCCCACAAGGGTACCGCCAGCTCACCAGTTTTTAGAACTCCTCACTCCCGCTGCCTTCGACCCAGCTCCTCCCCCACCTACACCCGACCTCTGAAGCTAGGCATTTAGGATCTCTTTTCCCTAACATGCCTCACACCTTTTCTCCCAGCTTTTACCATTGTGAAAATGTTCCCAAGGAGAGGCAAGGAGGAGCCAGAGAGAGTGATTGAGTGCGCTGACCCCTTGCCCCAAGGGAGGGTGCTGCCTGTGATGGGTTTGACCCTGGGGCTTGTCTCTGTGGGGTGAGCCTGGCAGGGGGAAACTTGCATCCGCCTCTCCGTCAGCCTCCTCCCCACCCCAGCTGCCGCGCTAATCCCCACCGCAGCGACGACCCTGGCCTGAGCCTCCATCCCCGGGGCGCCAACGCCATCTGGTGGTCATGTCGGAGAACTCTCTGCAGAGGAAAAAGGAGATGGGTTTCGTTCAGCGCTGCAGTGACTGCTTATTAAAGCGTCCTTTTGGCAGCCCGGCATTGAGCCAGGTGCTGGGACACCAGACAGGTTCACTGCTCCTGTGCACCATAAACTCTGTGGGAGGGGGAAGAAATGGACATTGAACAAGGAGACAAATAGATAAACAAGATAATCTCAGGTCTTGATAAGTACTTTGAACAAACTAAGAGACATGTTGATGTGTGGAGGGTGATGCTGTGAATATGTGCCATATACGAGTGTGTGTCTGAAGAAGGGACAATTAAGCTGAGACTTAACAGATGAGCAGCTGGCCATGCCAAGATGAGGGGAGGGGCATTCCAGGAGAGGTTGCTACATGAACAAAAGTGTGAAGAAGACAGGCCAGGAGTTTGAATTTGTCAGAAGTCTTGGAGTGGAGTGTCAGGAGAGGTAGGTGAGGGTCACATCACGTGGAGACTTGAAAGCTAGGGAAGGAGTCTGGCTTTATCTTCTAGGAAATGAAAATCCATTGCTGGGCTTAAAGCCTGCAGGCGACTTGATTGGAGCTATATATTTTAGAAGGAGCACTCTGGCCTACCATGTGAATGGCCTGGACGGAGAGGCAAGGATGGACTGAAGGGAGACCAATGGCCAGGTGGGAAACGATGGTGAAGGGGGGTACACGAGATAGAAGGAGAGTGGATGGATTCTAAATAGATTTCAAAAGTAGAATTGCCCGGCACAGCTGCTGGATTGGATGTGGGGAGTGGGAGAGAGAGAGGCAGGATTTAGGGATTCTGATGTGAGAGGCTCGGTAGATAGTGGGGCCCTTTACTCAGAGAAGAATGATGAGGAGACAGGACATCAAAAGTTCTGCTATTAATTTGTTAAACTGCTAATGCCTTTTAATCGTCTAAGGGAGGATGTCGGCAGAAGATAGAACGCACGTGAGAGACTGGGCTGTAGATTGACTGCTGGGATATGGGACAGGGCTGCCCAGGCAGGTCTGGTGGCCCCGGGGGGACAGGGAACCTAAAGCCGAAGGAGTCGTCTTAGTCCCTCCTTTCATCTCCCTTCCTCTTCTCTCTCACACTCCCCCACCCCAGGTCTATACTCGCTATGGGAAGTGTTATACCTTCAATGCAGATCCAAAGAGCTCCCTTCCCAGCCGGGTGGGGGGCATGGGCAGCGGCCTGGAGATCATGCTGGACATCCAGCAGGAGGAGTACCTGCCCATCTGGAGAGAGACAAGTATGCAGGCGGGAAAGGCCGACCTGGGGACTCTGGCCTGGGCTGTCTGCTTGGGATGGTTTTCCAAAGGTCCCCGTCTCCACTGTGCAGACGAGACGTCGTTTGAGGCTGGCATCCGGGTGCAGATCCACAGCCAAGAAGAGCCACCTTATATCCATCAGCTGGGCTTTGGCGTGTCCCCAGGCTTCCAGACCTTCGTGTCCTGCCAAGAACAGCGGGTGAACACCTCTAGCTGGGCAATGGGTTGGGCACGGGGCTGGACCTTCGGGCTCAGAGGGGATGTTGACCAGACTGGCCCTCTAAAGCTCATAGCCCGCCAGCCCACCCATGGACTTTGCTGGGGCTATGGGTGCTGGAGGACCGAGTGGGGCTCCTGGGCATGACACCATCATGCCCACCTCTGCAGCTGACCTATCTGCCCCAGCCCTGGGGCAACTGCCGGGCGGAGAGTGGGCTCAGGGAGCCTGAGCTTCAGGGCTACTCGGCCTACAGTGTGTCTGCCTGCCGGCTGCGCTGTGAAAAGGAGGCCGTGCTTCAACGCTGCCACTGCCGGATGGTGCACATGCCAGGTGGGCACCCCACTCCCCACCAGCACTCCGCGCTACCCTGCCAGGCTCCAGAACCTCCAGGGGCAGAGCACAGCTCATGTGCATGGGCAGGCGCATGTGTACAACACGCAACATGCATGTCTATACCCCTGTGAGTGTTTGAGAATTTATGCATGTGTTCACATGTGTATGGAATGCACACACATGTGTGTAATATGTATCTATGCATGCATGTGCTCATGACACTGCACTTATGGGGGTTGTGTGCATGTGCTTGAATACATGCATACAAATATGCACGCATACGTGTGTGCATGCAAGTGCGCGTGTTTGCATGCCTATGTGCATGCGTACATTTTCATGCTTATATGCATGAGCATGTATACATTCATGCCTGCACATGCATTTGCAAACATGCACATCTCGGGCATGTATACATGCATGTGCAGGCCCACATTTGAGAATGTGGTGGGGGAGAGAGGATGCAACCATAGACTCCAGGAATAATCTTCTCTCCTTTCAGGCAATGAGACCATCTGCCCGCCAAATATCTATATCGAGTGTGCTGACCACACACTAGGTTCGTGCTGCCTTTTCCCTTCCCTGCCTCTCCATCACCCTCCTCTTCACTCCTCTGTCTACCCTTCTCCTCACTGCCTTGGCTCTCCTCCTTCCTGTCTTTCCCTGGGGGGATCTTCCTGGGGGTTGAGCCTTACCCCATACCTCCAGGGGTCTGAGGACCTTTGAAGTAGGGTGCAGGTTGTCTCTCCGGGGAAGTGAAATGACTCCTCTCTTGCTGTGAGGAAAATGCATTGCTGGCTATCAGTGTGGGTAAGGCAAACCCCGTCTGTCCATAGGTCTTGCCTGATCTGTACATCATTCATTCATTCATTCATTCATACATTCATTCTACAGATGTTTACAACCTGCACTGCTGCTGGAGGTGAGAGTGGGAACAAGAGCCCTGCTCTTGTGGCGCTCGCTGCTGGGCAGGGCTATGGACAGGCATTATGATACAGCATGTCACTCCTTGGGTAGGGGAGCCCCAGGGATCCTACAAGGCCCCAGGGAGAGGCATGCAGCCCCATCTGGGAAGGCAGGGAGGATTCCTAGAGAACGTGACAGATTAGCTGAGACTTGAAGGGTGCGTAACAGTCACCCAGGTGAAAAGGGCGATATGTTTTAGGTGCTGGGAACAGCTCATGCTAAAGACCTTGTGACCAGAGAGAGCGTGTGTCTGGGGCACTGAAAGATGAGGGTGGCTGGAGGGCAGAGAGCAGAGGAGGGGCCGGGGGAGAGTAGAGGAGGCTCTGGGAAACCAACAATGGCTTAAGGCAAGGCAAGATTTTAGGAAGGAGACTCCGATTAGATGTGGAGAATGGATAGGTAGAGAGTGAGACTAGAAGTAGAATGACTGGTCAGAAGAGTATTGGAGTAATCCAGATGACGAGGCCAAACCCAACCCAAAGCCAGGGGACAGGAGAGTCTAGGTGATGCATTTGACAGAGCTCAGCTTCCTGAGCATAGAACAAGGCAGAGGAGAAGGAAGAGTGGATCCGAAGGGGAGAACAGAAAACACCCAGCATACTGAGCGTATAAATCCTGTTCATCCATTTGTTCTTCCATCCATCCATCATCCATCCATCCATCATCCATCCATCCATCCATCCATCCTCTCATCCACCTATTCATCCCAGCATCCTCCTCAAGTCCCTTGTGTGTCTGAGGTCTCATGCTGTCGATTAGCTCTGGCGGATGGGCTGTGCCCTCCCTCTGAGCCATGAGGACCTCCCTACGCCAGGGGGTTGGAGGACAGAGGGACAAGCCTGTGGGAGGGTGTCCAGCGGGGGGGGGGGGGGTTCTGCCTTTACCTGCTTCCTTGCATAGTCTGAAGCTGGTCCAAGAAGGGACCCCCAGCCAGTCTCCTCCAGGCAGTGCCAGGGCTGGCCAGTGAAAGCCCTCAGTACGGATGCGGCTGTCTTGGGACAGCCCCTCTGCCTTCTCCCTGCAGCTGGTGGGCCTCTGGGCCACCCGCCCCCCACTGCAGTTGGTGCCTCTGTGTTGCAGACTCCCTGGGTGGGGGCTCTGAGGGCCCGTGTTTCTGTCCTACCCCCTGCAACCTGACCCGCTACGGGAAAGAAATCTCCATGGTCAGGATCCCCAACAGGGGCTCAGCCCGGTACCTGGCCAGGAAGTACAACCGCAATGAGACCTACATACGGTATGTGTGTGCATGTGTGTGTGTGTGAGTGTGTGTTTGCGTGCGTGTGGTGGAGGCCACCCTCAGTAGGCTTGGTGCATGGTAGAGATGGGGAATAGACTGCATCTTTGTTAATAATGAGTCTTCTGCCAGGAATGCTTTTCATAATCCTTTTCTTCTAACTAATTCCTACCCATCCTCCAAGTCACATCCTGTGTCTCCACCTCCAGGGAAGTCCTTGTTGATCCAAACGCCTTTCATGTGAGCTCCCACAGCACCCTGTGTTTATCTCCATCATTGCACGTACCCATTGTTTTAGAACCCTCTGTCTGTGTGTCTTTCTCCCCTGGCAACCCGGGAGCCGTTAGATGCATGTTGAGTGAATGCTGTGCTGCGGGAGAAGAACTGGAAGGGCTGGGAGAGGAATAATGTGTGGCCTGCAGGATGGGCCGCACTGAGCCTTGGGTCTGATACTCTGCCGCCAATCTGCACATGCTGAGCATCCCCTGAGTGCCAGGCCCAGGGCTGTGTCCTGTGAGGACAGAGACGTTTACAACACAAAGCCTACAATTTGTGGATGAGCCCACGTGTGATGGTGTGGCACTGCTTCTCAGGCCCGAGGAGAGATGCACATGAATGGGGTGTGGGAAGCAGGGGAGGCGTGAGCTGGGCCTCTGAGGACCACAGATTTGGGTCTGTGAGAGGAAGAGAAGGGAGGAGAGAGGGGAGGCATCCCAGTGAGAGAACTGTGGAACGATGCGGAGACCGCCCTGAGGAGCAGGGGGACGAGAAAAAGCTAAGAAAGCCATTTGGATGAGCGGCACAGTGCATCCGATCGTGAGCAGTTTTGGAAGTCTGGAAGAGGAGTTTTGGAGAGGACTGTTGGGTAATAGGGAGCTACTGAAGATTCTAGAGAGGTATAGGGATGAGGCAACATGGACACTATTTGCTGCTTTAGACAAGGCAGGAATTTAGAGAAGGAGAGAATTCGTCAGGCCCAGGCCTTTCTGCTCTCGCAGGCCCTTTGCTGACCATCAAAGTGTGAAGCTAACATGTATCTGGGACTGCCTTTGGGAGTCTGAGGGCAGTCACCAGCTTCTCCGTGCAGGGGCTCTCAGATCAGGATCTGCTGGACCTGAGACGTCCCTGCCAGCTGCCTCCCGAGGAAGTTCACTCCACATGGATACCCTGCTTCCTGTCTCCACAGGGAGAACTTCCTGGTCCTAGATGTCTTTTTTGAAGCCCTGACCTCTGAGGCCATGGAGCAGCGAGCAGCCTACGGCCTTTCAGCCCTGCTGGGTGAGACCTGGCCCAGACTCCATGGGGGTGGATCAGCTCACCCTGCTCCCTATGACCCTGCTCTTGTGATCCCTAGGAGACCTTGGGGGACAGATGGGCCTATTCATCGGAGCCAGCATCCTTACGCTGCTGGAGATCCTCGACTACATTTATGAGGCAAGGGAAGGGGGCCTCGCGGGGGCCCCCCAGACGGCGAGTGTAGGATGTGAGAAGGAGCTGTGGGAAAAGCAGAGGGTCAGGGCAGGCTTCCTGGTGGAGCTGTTCTGGCTAGAAAGTCAAGCTCTGGGTTCTTTGTCAGGGTACCCTGATCGGCTAGCCACCAGAAGGCCTAAGGGTGCTGAGGAGTCAGAAGGGAAAGGGTGAGGAGAATCCAGGAGTCCTGGTGGGGGTTCACTGGGCAGCAAGTCCTATAAAGTGGGCCTAGCGAGGCCACCCTTCTTTACCAAGATTCCTGAGCCCACTGCTCTTCCCCACCCTGAACCCCAAGGTGTCCTGGGACCGACTGAAGAAGGTGTGGCGTCGTCCCAAGACCCCGCTACGGACCTCCACTGGGGGCATCTCCACTTTGGGGCTGCAGGAGCTGAAGGAGCAGGTGAGGGTGAGCCCTACAGAATATGCAGCCAGCACTTTCTCCCAGGACTGAGTACCCACCATGAGTTCTGTACCCGCCTGCTGGAGGGGTTCCTGGGCTCCCTTGGAGTCTCTGTCCCAGGGGACAAGAAAAGCCTGGCTGTATGAGGCATGGGGCATGGCTTAAACTCTCCCTCTTCACCTTGCAGAGTCCCTGCCCAAGCCGGGGCCGGGCTGAAGGTGGGGGAGCCAGCAGCCTGCTCCCCAACCACCACCAGCCTCATGGCCCCCCAGGAGGCCTCTTCGAAGACTTCGCTTGCTAGAATGGTGCTGCATCTGAAAGGATCCAGGAGTTTGGGACCCCTCCCCAATCTCCAACATAGCATCCTCCTGCTCCTGGGACAGAAGGCCTGGGGGCAGCCCAAGGCTGAGGGGTGAGGGCGCTGCTCACTGGGAGGATGGAGACTCAGTTCCTGTTCTCACCAACTCGGGCACCAGCTGCTTTGCACAAGGGCCCTTCTTGTCCACACCCCCTGCCCCAATGCTGGTGCCCAGCGAGGGCTGGAGAGTATGCCATGGGCCCTGGTGGAGGGGAGAAGAAGGGAGAAGAGAGGGAGGTAGAGGAGTGGCCCACCCCAGCAGGGGTGGAATCCTCTGTACATTTGTATATATTTAGGGAGGACGGGGTGGGGGTGGGGGTACAGATATAGAAGGTGGGTGGGGTTACGGGGGTAGATGATTCAGGGGCAGCCAGGGGCCTGGCCCTAGGGTATCAGTAGAAGAGGCTGGGCTCCCAGGAGTCAGGACTGCTGGGCTGCTCCTACTTTCTGCCCTTCTCTGGGCCCAGTTCCCCTTTTGGCGGGGGGAGCGGGTGGCCCAGCAGGCCTGGCCCCATCCCCATTCCCCCTGCCCCACCCCCACTCCAAGTCCCCTCCACAGGGAGCAGGCAGACCTTTCAGACCCTGGCTGAGTTTGGGGGTGGGGAAGGAAGCCTTCTCAGGCCTCTTTGCTTCCAGTCTGGTTTTATAAAGTGCTGATGAAATTAGGAATAAAGCAGCATAAAGAATTCTCTGTGTGTATGTGTGACTGAGCTGGGAGCTGGGGCTGGGCTAGGCATATGCATGACTTGGTCCCTGGGAAAAGGAAATCCAGGCCCAGCCAGGACAGGGAGCCTCCATCCTCATCACCAGTGCTCCCTGCCCCCATGTCTACCTCTCAAAAACTCAGAAAAACCAGTCCACATTCAGCCAGTTTATTAAAGGCAGGGAGCTTCATCAGGGGTCCAGAAGGGAGAAGCTGGGAGACGCCCCACCCTCCTCTCAGCTCCCCCCTTCACCAACTACTCATCTACAGCCCAGCCCCCAGGATTCAGACCCTAGAGGCAGGGCTGGCGTCAGGCAGACTTCACTGTATAAATACTGAGGCCACAGCTTGAAACAGCAGCGTCGGGGGGGAGGGGGAAGACAAGAAAACTGGGTTTGGAGCAGGAAGGGGTGGCTCTGAGGGCACCTCCCCCAGGGCTTGTCCTGAGCCTGAGGACCCACAAAGCCAGGGAGAGGGGGCCAGTGGGCTACCCTGGAGTCTGGGGCTGTGGCCAGCCCTGTCCAGAGAGGCTGGCTGGTGGCTCTAGGTGGTTGAAGGAGAAGCGCCACTAGGCCAGGGGTCTGGGGTGCAGGTCTGAGTCAGGTGCTGTTGCCCTGCTCCTGCTCAAAGAGCAGCATGGCGAGCTGGGTGCGGGAGCCCAGGCCCTCCAGGGCACTCTGGCGACAGCGATGGTACAGGTCCTCGCTGAGCCGCGCGCTGCAGGTCTGGGCCCGGTAGCGCTGCAGCAGCGCCGGCTCCACTGCCCGCAGCACGTGCAGGCCCGAGAAGCGCAGGAACAGCTCATACACATCCAAGCTCTCCAGGAGCTCCTCCTCCTGCTCCGAGGCAGCCGCGAGCCGCCCGCGGGCTGCCACGTAGTCGGAGTTGTAGAAGCAGGCCTCGCTGGCTGCCTGGCGATCAAAGCGGCCAGTGTCTCGGCCCAGTTCCGGGGGCCCCGGGCCCTGTGGTGGGGCCACGACTGGGTGGAAAGCCTGGAAGTGCATGGGAAAGAAGGCCTG